AACTAAAGTTGTTTGTCCCCACAAACACACCTTTTTAAGCTAGGTACAGGGAACAACACGGATTGCTTAACCATTCATTTCTCTTTCTAAACACAACTTCAAATTTGACCAGTATCCATATCACTCCCTGGAAACCATGTGCTTAAAAGAAAGGTGAATTCCAGCCCCAGTTCCAGGTTATCCTTATCAGTGATTGGTTCAGAAATGTGGGCCGGGCATGGTGGCTCACACCTGTAATCCCAGCACTTTAGAAGGCTGAGGCTGGTGGATCACTTGAGGTCAGGAGTTTGAGACCAGCTTGGCCAACATGATGAAACCCCATCTCTACTAGAAATACAAAAATTAGCCGGGTGTGCTGGCACGAAACTGTAATCCCAGCTACTCAGGGAGGCTGAGGCAGGAGAACAGCTTGAACCCGGGAGGCAGAGGTTGCAGTGAGCAGAGATCGCACCACTGCACTCCAGCCTGCAAAACAAAGTGAGATTCCATCTCAAAAACAAAAAACAAAACAACAAACAAACAAAACTGTGTTTTGTGAAGCAATTCTGGCAGATGAGAGAGGAAAGTTTTGCTGTAGGCTTTTGGGAAAGTTGTCCCTTGGTCTTGTGAGAGTTTCTAGCTCTCTCACTCACTATCTGCCATGCCCTACCCCTTGTGAAAGGAGCATGAGGTATTGACTACAAAGCATCCTAAAACCACAGGAAAATAGCCATGCCATTGTGAAAGGCAGAGCAGACAGAAGGAAGCACAATCAATTCAACAATGTGATTCAACAACTCTTAAGCTTATTTATTCACTAGACTTTCAAGTCATGTAAGCCAATTAAGATCCTTATTGCTAAAGGAGTTTGAGTCAGGTATTCTGTCACTTGCAGCCAAAAGCACCATTACTGAATAAGGAACCCAGGAAATTGTTTTCAGACAGAGGGGAAATAACAACTGGAGAGAGAAAAACTAGATACCAGAAAAAGGTACTATTAAGTTCCCGGAAGTGGGCAAGAAAAAAATCTAGCTTCAGAAAGGTGAAGGAACATTATTAAGAGACAGACGACGAGAAACAGAGAAAAGATAAAGTTTTGAGTGAAGACAAGTTTAGAGACGCCATGTTGGACAGGCTTTGATCACAACACAGTAGAAGGCAAACTCATCCTCTGGAAGGATCTAAGGGAAATTGTGGATTTAAGGAAAACATAAAACGTTGTTAATAATTGCTCCATTCATTAATTTCTTCCTTCATACATTCAACATATATTTGAGAACCTAATGTTTGCAACAGTATTAAGCCTTCTCCATAAGTGATATAGACTCATTCTGTTGCTTTCCAGAAGCATGTACTTCAAGTGGATCTCAGAGTATAGTCTCACAACAGCTAACCTTAGTCACTAAATGCAAATTTCGGGGTCCTAAAAGACCTGAATCAGGAACTCTGAGGATGCAGCCCAGCAATCTATGCTTTTAACAAGCCCAATTCACACTAAAGTTTGAAAACCACTAGTTTCTAGTGGAAGATCAACAGAGTTATAAACAAAAATTAAGGGGGAATACAAGGGATGGAGAACTTGGGTAAATCAGAGAGGCTCCCGGAGGTAGTATTTAAGCTCAAACTTCAAAGAACAAATAGATTGCCAATTTAGATGCAAAATATTACATGTTCTATATTTCATGTAATACTATTATACTACTTTTCAGTTACATTTCCTTTTTTCTCTTACTGCTAATAGAATTCCCTTAATAGAAATAGCCCTTAAATTTTAAGCCCTTCTAACTGGCAATAAGGAGAAATCTGAACAAGCTAGGAATTAAATGTTCCTTCCCTGTAGCTCCAAAAAAGCAGACACCATTCTGCATCATAAAACAGTACTTGGCAAATGTTATTTCTAACAAAGATTCTTGTAAAAGATTTCAAAGACTGTTGCTGCATCCTAAAAATATAATTCTAATTGGTTGTCTTATATAACATTTACATTGAAATCTGTGTTCTCCGCAAGTCAGTTTTAAGCACTTTTGTTTTCCCCCATAATCATGAAAAAAAGGAAAAGGAATGAAACTTGACTCAGCTAAATTTCTTCTTTGAACAGATTGTGAGTCTGTTTCTAATTTAAGTTGACATAAGACAGACACGATGGAAAGCAAAAAGAATAACAGTACTAGTATGTATTGGAGAAACTAATTCTATATATATATATTTTTGTTTTTGTTTTTTGTTTTTTGTTTTTCTGAAGAGATGATCTTGCTCTGTCACCCAGGCTTGGAAGGCTGGAGTGCAGGGACATGATGATAGCTCACTTTAAATAACTTCCAATTCTTGGGCTCAAGCAATCCTCCCGCCTCTGTGTCCTGAGGGCAGCTGAGACCACAGACGTGTGCCACCACCTCACCTGGCTTTAAAAAAAAATTTTTTTAGAGACAGGAGTCTTGCTTTGTTGACTGTCTCAAACTCCTGGCTTCAAGCAATCCTCCCACCTCGGCCTCCCAAAGTGCCGTGATTACAGGCTTGAGCCACTGTGCCCAGCCCCTGATTCTGTATTTGCTTAGTACAAATCTGAAGAGAAAGGCCAAAAAGGAGGATAAACAGATAAACAGGTAGATCATACAACATATAATGGAGTTAACATTCTTTTGTAGGTGATAGGGAGCTGTCAAAGAGATTTTTTTTTCCACAGAAGGGAACAGCATGGAAATGTAACATGAACAGGAGGGTAAATGATTAAATATCCATGCAAATCTGGTGTAGAAGGCAGATTGGAGTGGACCCACAAAAGTATCTGACAATCAATCAGTACCTTGGCTCCAATATTATGTAATTTCCCCCCCTCCCCGAAAAAAAAAACCAAAACCACCAAACTGTGTAACTTGAAACTTTATTTTTAAGGTATTCTGAAAATTTTTCAAGAATTTTAACCACCACCTACTTCCCTTAAACACACACATTTTTATCTTATAATTATAACCCCTACTGCAGTACAAAACAAGAAACAATAATTCTACTAAGTTAGCCAGCCAATCAAACTACTTCAGTAAATAATCACACTACAGCCTGGAATCACTCAAACAAAAAATTCTTCTAGTTCTCTTTAAAGATATTTATCGTTTATTTTTTCATGAAACCAAAGTAATTGATTCAACAATACTAACAGTTCTAGCATGCAACAAACCATCTACTATCTAATGTTTAATCTTAACATGTATATTTTCATTCCTATAAAGTTTCCATAAGAAGCTTGCAACGATCATAAAGGTAAATAAGTACAGTTGTCCCTTGGTATCCATGGGGTATTGGTTCCCAGACCGCCCCCTCAACCCATAGATACCAAAAATCCAAGTATACTCAAGTCCCTTACATAAAATGACATATTTGTATATAACCAACGCACATCCTCCTGTATACTTTATCTCTAGACTAATACCTAATGCAGTGTAAATGCTATTTAAATAACTGTTATACTGTATTTTTATTTGTATTATTTTTATATTTTTTTTAATATTTTTGATCTGCAATTGGTTTAATCCACAGATGCAGAGTACATGGATACAGAGGGCCAACTGTGTTTTGTTACAGGTACTTCAAATAGCACTACAGTACATCTTTGACAAAATTTTTACAATATTCCAACTTTCAATATGAAACAGCTTAAAAAGGCATGGGTCAAAAATAAAGTATAGTAGTATCACTTACGCAAATAAAGTCTCATAATCATACAAGCACAACACTGTTAGGACTCTCCCTGTTTAGGTTGGGAAAAACATTATATAAAACATTTCCTTCAAATAAAATACATAAATTGCTTACAAAAATGCCAAAATCAATAATTTCAAACATATTAAGGAGAAAACCTTGAACATTATTGGAAAATATAAACTAGTTATTCCTTGCTTTTGTGTAACAGATGAGTTCTTGTAAAGTTTTGTGTAAAGCAAATTCTGTAAACCATTATCTTGCTTGCACTGGAGGAACATATCTCAAGGAAACCTAAGAGAAAGTGTTCTTTAAAGCATGTGATTCTCCTCTGTTTTTTCTGGATGTCTGTATCTACATAATAAACAGGCACACTTCTACATCATTGGGCATTTTACTCAGACTGTCATGTTTCATCTCTGTAAATTAAACCAAAGTTACTTAAAAATTACCTGTGGTAAAAGAAGCAAGCAGATCACCCCCACCTATTATCCCTCCCGCCTCCCCCTGTCAAAAGAAAGTTCTCAGATTATGATGCAAAATTTACAATTGCTCATTTATCCACATTCTCAATAGAGGATTTTCCACTATATTTAAGTATGGTAGGATAATTACCCACCTGTTCCTTTTTTCAGCTTAGAAACATAACGGTTCATTCCTTTTATTGCTAGAGAATGTCATTCCTGAAGATTTTATAAACAAAGGCAAATGTGAAGGACAATCTGTCATTATGAAGTGAAGTCCTTTGTACTAAAGAATATTTCCCAAATCATAACAGTTCTATTTGAAATGATACCCACAACTCTACAAGCATCTTATCCCTCTACAGGAATGACTACCTTATTAATTAAAATAAAAATTTAACAAGGATCAAAATAAAATTCTTTAGCAATAGACTCTTGCAAAAATAAAAACTAAAACTAGACCTAGTCATTGCCATTTGATCAAACTTATAACAGGCTTAAATAATAGAACCACTCCATTAAAGAGGCATAAAAAGAAAAGTTTACTAAAATAAATGTAAAAGTCTTATGGAGATGAAGATCTCTAGAATAGTCTTAAGTCTATGACTACTGCTATCATTAATGAGCAAATAAATGACTTGAAATTATTCCTCTGAAAAGATAAAACTCATACGTATTATGAAAAAGACTATGGCACTTAGAAAATATTCCTGGTAAGTAAACATGGTAAATGTATATAGATGCATTCTAGCCTCTTGCCTACTTTTAAATTATTTTAAGATGGCACTAGCTGGGAGGAAAAAAAAAAAAGTCCTCATCACCTGAAGGTGAAATTATCACATAGTCCCAAAAATAGCTTTGAAAAGACCAATGAAAATACTACTATAATTTTCTCATCCATTTTCACCTAGTGCCTCTGTAGTTTTTTAAGTTTACAAAAAAAAAAAAAAAAAAATTCCAATGCAATTTGAGCCACATGTGGACAAAATTATGCTTTCATATGAAATGTAAACTAAATCAAATATAACCGGGCTATGTGCTGCAGCTAAAAGCCAAGTTTTGCCTCTCAGTGAGATGGCATGTCTTAAGGAATAATTCCTTTAAAAAATGAATGAGGCTACATTATTTGTACAGCATCATGGATTTATATTTTTCAATACAGCCAAAGCATATGTTTACAATATTAAAATGACTACTTTATAGCATCAAATCATGTTCTTGCCTCTAAAAATTAATTTGGCTGTTTCTAAAATACTGTATTAATTTTCTATGTATTTTACCTCCTTACTATGCAAGACAAGCAAATGCCTTGAAACCATTCAGTTTAATGCAGGCCTTTCAATAAAAATGCATTTTAAATAATACAGGCTTTAAAAATAAGATCACCAGAGACCACAATTGTTAGTGGTTGCAACAGTTTACATAACCGAATCTAAGGCAACCACTTTCCCTTGCGGTCGTTCTTTAAAGTGAGTAAGTTGATGTCTCTTCCAGTGAGGAGCCTGTCTGAATGTTTTGCCACAAACTGAGCATTCAAATGGTTTCTGCCCTGCATGAATCAGGTAGTGTCTTTCCAGTTTAGATGGAGATCGGAAACTTTTAGCACAAACACTGCATCGGTACAGGAAGACATCATTTTTCTCCTGATTCTCTGAATAACTGCTGAAAGGATTGCTTTGCTCTGATTCTAAAAGTACATTAGGAAGACAGGCTTGCCCGGTGCTACCAGGAATAAAATCCTGTGACTCTGCCTTAACTCCTGACATTTGATCTGACTCTGAGACCTCATATTTTTGAACACCAGGAGCCTGACATTGTTGGGAAGCATTATAGTTAACATTATTACCTGGATTCGAAAGATTGTTGAAGTTTCCAAAATCTACTTGGCAAAGAGATGCATAAGGACTCTTTTCATTATGAGTCTGTTCATGTCTTTTTAAGTGAGCTGACTGTCTAAAAGATTTCCCACAAATATTACAGCCAAAGGGCCTCTGTCCAGTATGAATTAAATAGTGTCTTTTTAGTTTGGATATAGAAGGAAATACTTTCTCACATTTGTCACAAGGACATATCTTATGTCTAGTACGTATGTTCTCCCTTGGAACTGAAAAACCACACTGAAGTACCTCACAGTTATTAAAGAATTCCTCACCTGATGAACCACAGATTGACAAGTCTTTCTTATTCACTGAATTATCAATGCTTAATATGTTTTCTGTGGTAAGGATGCCTTTCAAATTTTTTCCCATACTTTGCCAAGAAAACGGCAAAGTCAATGTTTTCTTCTTTCTATTGCCAATTGTTTTATATGTTCCATGTTTGCCAAGAGAACCCACAAATGTTCTCTGGGTTTGTTCAGAGCTCTGCTCACCAGAAATAAGATCACAATTTCTCAAGAAACTCTTTTTAAATACTTTTTTCTCAGATTGAAAGTTAACAAATTTTTTACTCCTAGCACGTTTAAGCTTGGCCAAGATTTTTTTAACAATGGTTTTATAGTTGTAGCTTCTTTTGAACCTGCTTGGAATTTTGCCACCTCTAGCAGGAAAACAGCTGTGTTCATTGAGAATCTGCTCTGATTCAAAACACTTTTCACACTTTGGACATTGAAAAGGGACAATATAAATTGAGTGGACATCAAGTGGATTATTCTCCTCAGATTCACCAATCTCACCATTTTCAAAACCACCCTGATTTGCATTTAACTTATTAGGCAGGGGGCGAGATTCTGTACGCCTCTTCTTTAATAAAAGAGCCCGAAAAACCTTATTCCTGGTATGGATTTGTTTATGCTTCAGAAGTTTGCTTTGAATCTTAAATCCTTTTTGACAAAAACAACATTGAAAAGGTCTTTCTTCTGAATGTGTAAGTTGGTGGATTTTTAAGTGAGTTGACTGTCGAAAAGATTTAGTGCACAAGACACATTTAAAAGGCCTCTGACCAGTATGAGTAAGTACATGCCTATCAAGTTTTGACTGTGATGGAAACATCTTGCCACAGATTGTACATGCATGAATATTCTTTCTTCTTTTCATGCTATACATGGGATCGGACTTAGAGCACGGGTGTAAGGCCCATCTTTCCTCTGTGGTAAAAGTATTATACACTCCATACATTGACTTTTCTTGCTTGGCCTCCAACAATCTTCTGACCTGTTTAACATTATTCTGATAGGTTTCATTGTGAAGTTGTTGGTGCTTCACAAATGTCTTCAGATTTTTAAAGTGGCGCTGACAAATACTACATTTAAAAGGCAGACTATGAGTTAGTTGATGCCTCTCCAGATGAACTAGTTGTCTAAAGGTTTTATGACACACATCACATTCAAATGGCTTTTGACCAGTATGAATGAGATAGTGCCTAGCTAATTTTGATGGTGTTTCAAAGTGCTTAAAGCAAATATTGCAAACATATGGCCTGTTTCTAGGTAGTTTGTTGGCTACCACACACTGTTTAATCTTTAGCATTTTTAAATTGTTTTCAGCCATCATATTCTTCAGTGATATACTCTGATGAGCTCCATAGTGTTCTTAAATTCCACAGATGTCTAAAAATTAAAGAAAAAAATGTATTAATTTAAAAATTATTTATCCATATGAAAAGTAACTTAAGTTGTTCTTTGGCTGAAGATATTAAAGGCAAAGGAGAATCTGGACTTAGTGTTTACAAGTTAATAATCATTTTAAATAATACTTTAAAATAATAAAACTAATTTTACACATACAGAGATATGAGTCTTTAAAAGAAATATCTAAAAATCAATACAATTTTAAGCTATTTTTCTAATTGAGATGCTACATTAAATGGGGACTAGGGTGAATTTATTAACATTAAATAGATATTTTAATTCCAATTTTCCTATTTCATTATTTGGTAGATTTGCCAGTATTTAGTTGCTATCATTTTAAAAAATGGGCTAGAAAGGTAACAAATTAAAACATAATACTAAAAATAAGAACTTGCATTCAATTATAGTACATTGTAAATATGCTCTTAGAACAGAACATCTGACTTATCATAGTTGGATTTCTTAGCCACAGATTTAACATGACTTATTCTCAATTACTTCTTTAGACCAACAAGGACAGTGTGGACTAGGAGTAAATTCACAGAAGACCTGGGTTCTAGTCCTGGATTTGCCATTATATGATCTTGGTGGTAGGAAGAAGGAAATACAGAGTTCTCATCTGTAAAATGGGGAAAAGGTCTCCTGGACGGTCTACCACCACAAACTGTTGTCAAAAATCAATGGAGATAATGCATATGAATGTGCTAAAAAACTGTGAAGCAATACATAAATCTAAGGAACTATTTAACTCAATGCTAATCAAATTTTAAAATGTTATCCTTATCTTCTTAGTAATATTTTAAAGAGTTTCTCACTAAGAAATAAACCCACTGACTAAATTTACAGATTTTAAAAATTTCTCACCTGGCACAGTGGCTCACACCTGTAATCCTGCACTTTGGGAGGCTGAGGCTGGTGGATCACCTGAGGTCAGGAATTTGAGACCAGCCTGGCCAACATGGTGAAACCCCATCTCTAGTAATAATACAAAAATTAGCCAGGTGTGGTAGTGCACACTCGTAATCCCAGCAACTCGGGAGGCTGAGGCAGGAGAATCACTTGAACCCAGGAGGCGGAGGTTACAGTGAGCCGAGATCGTGCCATTGCAATCCAGCCTGGGTGAGAATCCATCTCAAAGAAAAAAAAATTCTCCTTTTCACTTTCTTGTGAAATTCCCAAAAGACAAGCATGGAGATAACAAGATCAACAAATTGGTTACTTATATAGCTATCTATGACTAAGTAATTGAAAGCTGAGTGTGCTTTACCCATCAGGCAATATAGTAAAAGGGTCATTTTGGTCTTAAGCGTTAATATAAAGATTTAAAAAATTGGCCCAGTGCAGTGGCTCACACCTGTAATACCAGCACTTCGGGAGGCCAAAGCAGGGAGATCACATGAGGTCAGGAGTTTACAACCAGCCTAAACGTGGTGAAACCCTGTCTCGACTAAAAATACAAAAATTAGCCAGGCGTCGTAGTACACATCTGTAACTCCAGCTACTTGGGAGGCTGTAACACAAGAATCGCTTGAACCGGGGAGGCAGAGGTTGCAGTGAGCCAAGATTGCACCACTGCACTCCAGCTTGGGCAACAGTGAGACTCTGTCTCAAAAAAAAAAAAGAAAAAAAAATTTAGCAAGCACTTTCATAACTATCTTATGCACTGTCCTCTATCAGAGAAGCTAATTTTCTTCTCGTTATTAGTCTACTATGGCATTGCCCTTAAATAAAGGAGTCAGAGATTTAAAAAAAAAAAAAAAAAAGTAAAAAGCTGTGCTAGCACTTTCAATATAATGTATCTTCTGGATCAGAGAGTTCTAAGTCTGGAGTTCTTTTGTAAGCTGATCTGGCAAACATCCAACAAGTATGGTGCTACTATCTTCTCCTAGAAGATACCCTCAATCCCAAATCACAAACATACCCACTGTGGTTCTTTAGCAATATGAACCAGAAACAGAATAAAAAAAAAATTACTGAACAAATATCTTTATTATAGTGTTTTTCAAACTGCAGGATATTACTCATTAATGGATTGTGAATTCAACTTAGCAGATCATGATCAGCACTTTGTTATTTAAAATAAGAGTGGAGGCTGGCATAGTGGCTCATGCCTGTAATCCCAGCACTTTGGGAGGCTGAGGCGGGGGATCACCTGAGATCAGGAGTTCGAGGCCAGCCTGGCCAACGTGGTGAAACCCTGTCTCTAATAAAAATACAAAAACTAGCCAAGTGTGGTGGTACATGCCTGTAATCCCAGCTACTTGGGAGGCTGAGTCAGAAGAATTGCTTGAACCCAGGAGACGGAGGTTGCAGTGAGTCGCCAAGATCGCACCACTGCACTCTATCCTGGGCGACAGAGTGGGACTCCATCTCACAAAACAATTTTTAAATCAATAAATACAAATAGGGGATAAATAAAAGTGGAAAGTATCAGACTGCATACTATATAGCAAGGATAAATATTGTTTCATGAAACTTCTGTAGGAAGAAGTAAAAAAGTTTATGAAAGCCGTTCCTAACATGCCTCTTCATACTAGACAGAGGAACCTACAACAAATCAACTACTTTATTCAAAGTGGCCAAGTAATCTATTCAGGTGAGAAAGATAGGGGCCCATAGGATGAGACAAGATTACTAAAGAAAGCAAGTGTCTGGTTTTCTTCACTTGACCCTATTATTCCAAAACATTTATCTTAAATAGAAATCATCTAATTACAGGCCAAATAGAAAATGCCACACAAATCCACGCAAAATAAAATAATCTGACTGTAAGCCAGTATAGTAGTAAAATATACCATATAACCCAGATATCAGTGTTAACCAACAATCAACTGTTGGTGCTATGAACATCCATTTTCAGTAGCTTGAATTACAGAAATTACAGGTGAACAAGCTCCAAAATCTCTAAACATGCCGATACAGAGCAACAGTCATGATAATTAAAATTAAGTCATGAATCCAGTGAACTGCAAAGAACTTGGCAGCAATTAGGTGCCAAGGTAGTCAACCAGGACAATGAGCCAAACCAAAAGTAATCAAGCCTTTATTCACTTACTGTGACAGTGCAAGCAAGTGGTAAAAAGAGGCACTGGCTCCCCAGTGGTCCATTAAATACAAGGACACTGGGTGAGGGTCAGTTGATGCAGCGCATATGAGGTAATCCTCTCACTGAAGAGGAGCCCCTAACAAAAATCTCCTGCCTCTTATGGAACGTTAGAATAGGAAATGGGTGGAAGGTCTAAGAGTGAAAGAAGCTGGGTCAAAAACGGAGAAAAGTGTCTTAGCCATGGTCCTTCCTAGGAGGGCCACTAAATGGAGGTACCCAGGCCAGGAAAGAAGTTACGGGATTTGCATATCTAGCAGGAGGGGCAGGGCGAGTCCTTGACTGCAACCCCCTCCAGAAAGCTGCAATGCACTGGCCCATATCGAGCCTGGTGTGGGAGGGCAGCTTGGCCCTTGAGGCCAGTCAGGCAAAGCCTGGTAATTGTCCAATGTCAGGACTGAATGATCACACAGAGGATTTTGGTCTGGAGCCAGATTCAATTCCTTTTGTATGTTTCTTCTTTTAATAAATGCTTTCGTGGAACACGCCTAAAAGAAAAAAAAAAAATCACACACCACAACCACCTCTGATTAAAACAGGGATTGGCTACCTAGAGCTCCTGTACCAAAAAGGATCATCCATTGTTAGCAGTAAGATTGGATAACTGTTGTCACTTGCCTCCCACCACGTGGAAAAGCACTTACTGGGAGCCCTAGATTGTTAGAACCATTAGAGGCAAGTGGTGATCGTATCTCCTATTTATGAGAGTCAGCTTAGGGATCCTCACCTCACGCACTCATGGAGCTCCAAATCCCATTTCAACCGATTTTTTGTTGTTGTTGGTAACATAAAAATAAAAAAGACTGTAATTTTACTTATGTTAAACTGAAATAAAAGAATAGATCTGCTCAGCAGTTCAATTCAGAACTTATCCTGACAAGAACAAGATATTCTACGTGAAGACTGTAAAAACTGTAAAAACTGACCTCAGTAATATCCAATGTTGCCTCAAGGCTGAAAGCCTGTTGATTTTCTTGTCTTGACTAGTACCATTAAAACGATGTGAGGATTTCACGAAAGTAAGCGAACAAGAAATGAAAGACCTAAGAGAAACACACACAACTTTCAGTGGGGGAATAATCTCCGGCGGCTGCTTCTGCCCCACTCGCCCCGGGCCCATTCTCTTGGCCTTGAACCCTCACCTCTCCCTCCCAGTGGACTACACCGGACAAAGGACACTGACACACACAGCCCTCGTTCTAAGGGCCCACAACCAATAATAAGCACTTAATGGTCGAGTCGAGTCCAGAAACCACAAAATCCCACGCCAGGAAAGGAAGGGCAAGGGTAAAAACTGCTTTGGCTGCAGCCAGGATGAAAACGCCACATGTGATACAACCCACAGCAAGAAAGAAAAAAAAAAATTCCTCTGCGCCTTCCTCTCAGATTTCTCCTCCGCGTGAGACGCACTCAATAGGTGGGGAAGTGAGAAAGCAAAAGGAGCTCAGGAACTGAGGTTGTGGAGCCCCCGTTCTGGGTCCCCAGGCACCTTGGCGGAATTGAGGCAGGTCCGACCCTCCCTGGGGGTCGCTCCACTTCTCAGTCGGGTTTCTGAAGTCCTCCCCAGGCATCTGGAGCTGGCGAGGGCCCGGGAGGCACGCACCTCAGGCCCAGGTGCCGCGAAGGCAGCGCGCGCACGTCCGCAGGGCCGGCGCGGCAACGGGCTGAGCGCGCAGGCGCGGCGCTCCGGCGCGCCCAGGGACAAGGTCCGGCTGGAAACAAACTCCCCCAAATTTCAGGGCCTTTGTCGCCTCCGCGCGGCCCGCCGGTCCCCAGGGGACTGGGACTCCAGAGACGCACCCCCAACCCCACCGCCATTCACCCTGTCATTGCGGGGGAGAGAACAGAAGAATAAAGACGGGTACATTTTCCATCTCACCTCTAAACCTCGGTTAGGAAAACGCTGTAGCCCGGACTAGTGGGCTCAAGGGCCGACTGGAAAAGGGCGAGTCAGCGTTCAAAGCCGAGTCGGGGCAGCCCTCTTTAACGCAGAGGGCCGGGGATAAGAAGACGACAATGTATTCGGGGCCCTCTGGGCTAGGGCTGTCCTCAGCACTTTGTACATTGCCAAAGTAAATAGAACGTAGAGGTCAAGCGCAGGCGCTTTGTGGGCAGACGTGACCGAGCTCCACTCGCGACTCCTCTAATGGCGTGCCCGCTGCGGACCTCTTTAGCCCCGCCTCAATCATTCAGTATGTTTTGGTTGTCCACAGTGTACGAAGCCCTGTTCTCACAATTAGATAAAATGAGTGTGAAGTGCTCAACTTAATTCCTAGTGTAGTAAGCCTTCAAAGAACTATAATCATTATTAATTACTCATATTGAATACAACTTTATGAAATGATAGGATCTCATTTTAAGATAAGGAAAATGAGGCTATCAGAGACATTAAGGAACTTAATGTCACACAGTTAATAAACGATAGAGGTGCGATTTGAACACAGGTAGCCTAATACTAGAGCTACATTTATAACTCTCTGCTGCTTCCCAAGTTACAGATATTTCAGCATTTTATGTAGTTACAATTGAAGACCAAATATACAGTTACAGACAGGTGGCACGTTATTGCTGAATAAGATGCTAAGGTATCTACCAAAGATTTTAAGTGCAAAAGGCATTAGAGAAGAATTTATTGTGGATTTTTTGCAGGTTCTGATTGTAATTGTCTCACCTTGAGAAAGGAGGAAATGAAAGTAGATTATCGGGCATACTTTTAAAACTCTAAACAACTTTTTGCATTACTTTCTGAGGACCATCAGCAACAAAAATCAATGGTTTCTAATGTTGGTATATTTTCATCTACCAAAAAAATAAAAGCAAATGAGCCAACAAAAAGTCTCTGTTTTGGATGTGTTAGCATGAGGAAATGGCGAATAGGAAATGAGCTTTTACTTCTCCTGTAGGAACCCTGAAGGAGTCAGATTTGGAAGGGGTTGAAGTCTGCTTCCAACAGAAGCCGGGGTGGAGAAGGGAAAGGAAAGACTTCTGGTGTCCTAAATGCTAATCCCAAAGTGGAGATGCTGTTTGTCCAGATAACCCTTGTAAATCTGCTCCATCCTGCAGCTACTCCTGGGAAACTTAGTCAAATAATGCAAACAATTGCATCCATCATCAGTCACATCAGCCTTAGAAGGTATATCCATATCATGAGAGAACACTACCTGAAATTGGGGACCACTGGAGGGTGAGATTCCTTCTTTATCCATTACCTGCAAAACAAATTGGCCTTTGCACGGAGAGTCTGAATGTGGAGTGTGAATGAAGTTAGGACTTGAATAGGCTATTCTCCAAGGCCACATGCCCCGTGTCATAACCTCCCCCATTTACCCTGAGAGCTATCTCAGGAGCCTTCTGGAAAAAAAGAAATTAACATGAATAAGAGTAATCAAGGAAGATTTCATTGAATATGTGAAATTTGAACTAGCAGTAATGGGTAGACCATGGATAAATAAAAAATGTGGGGGCAGGACAGAACATGGTCGGGCAGAGGTGGCAGGGTAAAAAAAAGTATGAGAAAGAAAAATAAAGGGGTTGCATGACATACATTTGAGCTAGTATCTTAACTCTGCAGCTTACTAGTTGTGTCCTTAGAAGTTATTTAACCTAGGCCGGGCACGGTGGCTCACACCTGTAATCCCAGCACTTTGACAGGCCGAGGCGGGTAGACCATGAGGTCAGGAGTTTGAGACCAGACTGGCCAACATTGTGAAACCCCGTCTCTACTAAAAATACAAAAATTAGCCAGGCGTGGTGGCGGCGCCTGTAGTCCCAGTTACTCAGGAGGCTGAGGCTGGAGAATCACTTGAACCGGGGAGGCAGAGGTTGCAGTGAGCCGAGACCATGCCATTGCACTCCCAGCCTGGGTGACAGAGTGAGACTCTGTCTGAAAAAATAAATAAATAAATAAGTTGTTTAACCTGCCGGCTGCAGTGGCTCACGCCTGTAATCCTAGCACTTCGGGAGGCCGAGGGAGGTGGATCACGAGGTCAAGAGATTGAAACCATCCTGGCCAACATGGTGAAACCCCGTCTCTACTAAAAATTCAAAAATTAGCTGGGCATGGTGGCATGCGCCTGTAGTCCCAGCTACTCTGGAGACTGAGGCAAGAGAATCACTTGAACACAGGAGGCAGAGGTTGCAGGGAGTAAAGATTATGCCACTGCACTCCAGCCTGGGTGACAGAGTGAGACTCTGTCTCAAAAAACAAACAAATAAACAAAAAACTTATCTAACCTTCCTGAACCTCAGTTTCCTCATCTGTAAACTGAGGTCCTAATCATTCATTTATTTGATGGCGTGTACCAACTGGGCACTGTGGCTCACGCCTATAATCCCAGAACTTTGGGAGGCTGAGTCAGGAGAATCACTTGAGCCCAGGAGTTCAAGGCCAACTTGGGCAACATAGTGAGACCCCATATCTACAAAAAAATACAAAAATTAGCCAGGCATGGTGGCACGTGCCTGTTGTCCCAGCTACTCAGGAGGCTGAGGTGGGAGGATTGCTCTACCCCAGAAGGTCAAGGCTGCAGTGAGCCGTGTTCATGCCACTGCACTCTAGCCTGGATGACAGAGCAAGACTCTGTCTTAAATAAATAAATAATAATAAAAATAGAAAAGATATCATGCCATTGCACTCCCGTCTGGGCGACAGAGCGAGACTCCATCTCAAAAAAAAAAGAAGAAAAGAAAAGCCATATCATGTACCACGCTCTAAAGATTCACTTCTAATTATATAAAGATGAAGCAGTTAGGCCCTGAACCTTAAATTAGTTTCTAGCTCAGAGGAGAAAATAACATACAAACAAGTCTTAATAGAATATAATAAGAGCAGATATACATAGGAGGAAAGAACATCTAAATCTGCCTGGGGGTTCCAGGTGCAGATGGTCCCTGAGATGCAGCTTCAATCAGTCATCTATCGATCCATCCATTCTGCATATATTAAGCACTTGCTGTGTATCAAGTCCTGTTCTAGGCAAGCGGGATAGAGTAGCAGACAAAAAGTCAAATATCCATGCTTCGTAGATCTTATATTCTACTGAGGGAGACAGACAACGAATCAAATAAGTTAAAATATATAATATGTTAAACATTAGTAAGAACTGAGGAGAAAAAGTGCAGAAGAGGGCTGTGAAGATTTGGGGTGGAGGTGGGGATGCTGACATTTTAGTAGATGGCCAGAGATGAGCTTAATGAGAAGTTCTGTGATTCTTTTTTTTTTTTTTTAAATACAGAGTCTTGCTCTGTTGCTCAGTCTAGAGTGCCCTGGCGCAATCTCAGCTCACTGCAACTTCTGCCTCCCAGGTTCAAGTGATGCTCCTGCCTCAGCCTCCCGAATAGCTGGGACTATAGGCGCCTGCCACCATGCCCGGCTAATTTTTGCATTTTTAGTATTTCACATTTTTAGCACCATGTTGGCCAGGCGAGTCTTGAACTCCTGGCCTCAGATGATCCGCCCACCTCGGCCTCCCAAAGTGCTGGGATTACAGGCGTGAGCCACTGCGCTCAGCCTAGTTCTGTGATTTTTGAGTTGAAACCTGGTGGAAATGAGAGAGACTGCCTTGCCCATGGGAGATGGTAGGAGGCAGGGAGAAAAATGAGTAGCAGCTTGCTTAGTGGACAGGAGAGTGTGCTTTTGGAGGAGGGTGGGGAAGGGAAAGATAGGCAGAGAATATTCCAAACACAAAAGACACATAGTGGGAAAAGGCATGGCAAACAGGAAATACAAGTAGTTGCTGGAGTGTGAAGTACAGGTTGGGAAAGTGGGGAGTGGCAGGAGAGTCATTCATGCAGTAAATAATTTGGAGCACCTACTGCTCACCAGGTTCTTAACAAGAAGCTCAGAAAGTTGTTATATGCAAATGTTTCCTTTTAAAATGTTTTCTTTTTCTTTTTCTGTCTTTTATCCAAATAATTGTACTTGATTCTCCGGTTTCTCTTCAGATCCTATACATCTTTCATCTTTTACCAAAATAATTGTACTTGAAAGGAGTCTATACTTTTAGGATATTTTGTATGTTTTTTGGAATATTTTAAAAACAGACATTTTTGAAATTACCTTTTAATGGTGTTAAAGCTGCCTCCTGCCCTAAGTGACAGGCTGGCAAGGAGCTCACATCTCTGATTCCATCCCATCTCTCTTATCTTTCCTTTCTCCTCTTCCCATTCCCTCTGTGGAGCAACCTACAAAGCCATCTGCTTGCCTTCTGCAGATAGTCCACCCAAATCTGTACCCCTCAAGTGTCAGTTTCTACCCCAAAGCAACTGTCAAATAATTTTTTCAACAAAAAAATTCTTCTTTCTTTCTTTCTTTTTTTTTTTGGAGATGGAGTTTCGCTCTTGTTAGCCAGGCTGGAGTACAATGGTGCAATCTTGGCTCACCACAACCTCCTCCTCCCGGGTTCAAGCGATTCTCCCGCCTTAGCCTCCTGAGTAGCTGGGATTACAGGCATGTGCCACCTTGCCCAGTTAATTCTGTATATTTAGTAGAGACCGGGTTTCATCATGTTGGTCAGGCTGGTCTCGAACTCCTGACCTCAGGTTATCTGCCCACCTTGGCCTCCCAAAGTAGAAATCCTTGTTTCTTAAGATGATTTTTGGTGAATAGAACCCTCTCCTTCCCATCATATACTGTACTTCCTTGAGAATAATACTTGCAACTTCTTGTACATTGTGCTACACAACTTCTGAG